GCATGGATGGACTGACAGACAGACACAGACAGACGTACGAATGCACGGACAGACAGACGGACGGACGCATGGATGGACTGACAGACAGACACAGACAGACGTACGAATGCACGGACAGACAGACGGACGGACGCATGGATGGACAAATACAAACGCTGGTCCAGGCTTCCCACTGGTGGGTTTACAGACCCCCGTATTCAGAAACGCTGCTTGACTTGAACTTGACTTGTCATCGACTTTAACGCAACACGAACGCGTTTCGAACGCGCTGTCTTTAGGCGGTTCCAAGGCAGCACAAACGCACAGACGCGTTTCAAACGCCCTGCATTGAAACAGTTTTGATGCAGAAAAAAGCGATTCAGCGGCAAGGAGGATTGCTCACAAGGAGCAACGCGTCGATGTTCTGTAGTATATTTCTCCAGCGCCTCCTAAAAAAATTATGCCTGGTACGTGAGCCACGAATGCGCTGCCCTACCCTCTGATTTTACCCTCCTCCTTCGGTACAAAGGCGAGCGTCTCTGACGGCCGCCCCTTGCACACAGCAATGCTCTCACAGTTGCCTCCAAGCAGCCGTGATGTCACGTGACAGAGTGGTACGGTTATGTCTTAAATGAAATTGCTGCTTAAATGGAACTGGCACTAATATGTTTGGTTTCCTACTTGAATATTTTACCCCTGTTTATCTCTCAGTAAATGAAACTCCTAAAAGAAACACTTTTTCCTGGTCCCTTCAAGTTTCGTTTATGAGGACTCTACTGTATTTACATGCTCCACTCGCCAGTTCATTGAAACACACAAGGATTGAGCATGCGATGCCTATATGAATGTATGGGAATTTCATCAATGGCAACAATAATTACTGTGGTAATTTCTTACACATTTGTGCTTACTTTCCTGAATCTGGCTCACTGAATCATGACCTGAGTCTGGTCATGAATCACCGAAACATGTATTTGCTTTATTTCAAGAACAACATATTGGCTTTATGGTATAGCAACAGAAAACAATCGCAAATCAATGCTCTGGAGTTGCGACTGCAAGACAAGTCGTTTCTGGGAAACCTCCACGAGTGTCATGCCTGCAATAGCCTGGTTGGCGAGATGTCATGAATATGCATTGATCACCACACCGCACTACCCCACAACCAGGTTGTTAAGCAGCCTTCACTTTGGTCCCCCATTCTCGTGAGTGTGGGCTATTCCAGTGTCGGCCTCTGTAATTACCTCTTGTCGGAGCTAGAATCATGGGCATGACATGAGCAACTGGGGCTTGGTACTGCGATTGCAAATGTGCTGTACATAGTATCTTCTTCAGGTGTGAATTATGGCAGACTGCCTGAAAATGTGTCAAGTTTATGCGACATAATTCTTAGGAACTTGTTACTATAGACCAAGAAATAAAATTAGGTAATGTGTTGTTTTGTGTGAGTTTCAGTAATTGTTGTAATTGGAGTGTAATTAAGTATGTAATCATTCCACTATCAGTCTGGTTTGATTCTTGCACGAAAAGAATCAAATATTAGACTCAAAATGCATGCCCAGTTTGCTTTTGGTTAAAGAAAAACATCTTGGTTAAAGAAAAACAATATTCCTAATTAACATTGGTGCTTGAACATGGCACGTCGCATGTGCGTTAAACATGGTAGTGTCTCCAGCAATGTGATCCTCTGCAGCAATACATGGTGTAATGCAGATGTAGTTAAATGAACGCTATTTGTTACTCAGGAAGCATGTACAAGTGTGCACACAGAACTTAAAAGCCATCTCAAGAAACATGCTGCACGTGATGTGCCTTCGTAGCTTATGTGTGCAGTTGTACACACCGGCATCGAATGGGATATCGTACATGAATACTCAACGAGCAGGTGAGCTTCAAGATAGGCCGCCAGGTCGGTAGCAAGGCCGCCAGGTCAGTAGCATGGTGGGTATGTGGCTATGTGAGCTATGGATGCTGACTAGCAGATGCCGCTGAGCATATATTTTCTTTTTTTTTTGCTCTCGCTGGTAAACCCGAGTAATTTAGGTGGACCTAACATAAGGTTTGCCACTTTCTGTTGTGCCCACTGTAAGTTAAAGGGTAGTCGCAAATGGCTGCTAGGGAGCTCATCATGACAATTTGCAATTGAAAAAGAGATGTTTCACCTTGAGGTGTCAAGGCTCGAGAAGTATAGTACTTTAGCATTGTTTAAAACAAATGTAAAGTAGCAAAACTTTTGCTTTTAGAAGGCCAATTTTAAGAGAACTAGTCTTAGCCTTAACAAAGCTCAACAATAAAATTATTCTAATGATCAGAATATCAGAATAAAGCATTTCTAGCAACTGGCGGTTCTTAAGCTTGCTTCAGCTGGTGGTATACTAACACTGGTAAACCCTGCATGTGCATTGTCTGCATCGACACTGACGAATTTTTATTAATACACACCATGCTGCTCTAACATTATCTTCACATAAATGTAAAATCTAAAATACAGAAATTCAGCCTACAATCAATCCTAGTGGGTAGCCTAATTGGCCTGCACATGTCCCAGAAATGTTTTCAGTGGGATTTGGTCAGAATAATCACAGTGTACTTCTTGTGATCCTAAATGAAAGAGAGAGAGGACAGTTTTAGATACTATGCACATTTCAGAAGCACAGCATCGAGCCACTCTCGCCATCAGTGCGGAGAGTGTTTGAAAAAGTTGAAGAACAAGCTCTTCCTGCAGTATATGTGCTATTCATGGTGCACTTTGCGTGGCTGTAACAGCTTGCATGGCCCCTGGCTTTGGCAAGTGCATCCCAAACTATGTTGTGCAGCCTCACCAGAACGGGCACACTATTAACCGCAAATATCCGAGCAAGCAGCCACTTCCTTTCTTCGACATCAGAATGCTACGAAAATGCATTTGCATTTTATTCAGTAGTTTGGTTTGGCCGGAAAAAAAAAAAAGACTCGTCACAAGAGGTTTCTTGTTTTCGAAATTCTGGATGTGCGACCAAAGATTGCCCTCAAACCATTGGGTAGTTACAAACTGTCAAAATTCAAGCAAGGCTGAGCTTGTTAGGCAAGTGTGTACATTCCAGCAGTTCGCCGCAGTCTGGCCTCTAGGCACAAACGGCAGAGCTTCTTTCTTGCCAGCTCTCTGATTAAGGGCTGTACCTGGCGTTTGCGAGAGTATCCTAGGAGATTATAGTAGGGACAAGCAACAAGTGCAGCTCTGTAAAACTGACAGCAGTGACGTGGCCACGGCACGCGAGCACCACGTTTCAATCACTCACGCTTGTAATTTTTGTTGCAAATTAAGCACACCAATCTGTCGTCGTAAGATGCGTGCTCCAACTTACACAATCATAATCTGCACATCAGTGCTGAGTCGGCGTCAATTATGCTGCAACGAAAAGGCTCGTGGCGGCAAGTTTGTGTCGTCACCGCGCGAGCCACCGCTTACTAGATCTGCAACACGTTGATACACCACGTGTGCATCAACATTAACAAGGCCAGCAGAATCGCCACTTAGGTCGGGCCCATGTGCCATCTGTTCATTGTGCGGATTCGCTTCACCATGATGTAAAGCACAACCAGAATTGGTGTCTGGCAGAGAATACAGTATAACATTTCTGTGGACTTGGTCGGACTTTGAGCACTACACACTGGCTCTGCGTGGTCATTGTTTACTCTCACAAGCTGAACATGTATCGATGCGGCATTTTCCCTTGCAGGTGAAATAGTCATTCGTTGTTTTCTGCCATCACAATTATACAAAATGACTGCAACGCCTTCAAGAAATGTACTGGATGGAACTCACCAATGTTGCCGTGCTGCGGTGGTCTAGTGGCTAAGGTACTCTCGGCTGCTGGCCCACAGGTCACAGGGTCAAATCCCGGCTGTGGCGGCTGCATTTTCGATGGAGGCGGAAATGTTGTAGGCACATGTACTCAGATTTTAGTGCACGTTAAAGAACCCCAGGTGGTCAAAATTTCCGGAGCCCTCCACTACGGCGTCTGTCATAATCATATAGGGGTTTTGGGACGTTAAACCACACTAATAATCAATCAAACTCACCAATGTTCATGCCTGCATGCGCCATCACACGTGCAGCCTCTCCACATGCCGTCATGGTCTTTATTGAAGTGCAAAAAAGAAGCAAAAGACACAGCGTGGAGACTGCTAAAGCCACTAGGAGGCCACTTGTATTTTCTTTTTACCTCGTTAGTCACAATGTTTTCAGCCACGGCGGTTTTCATAGAGTGCTTGTCTTTCATAGACCACATTTTCATAGGGCGCTCGTGTTTTAGCAGTCAGAAATCTGAGAAATTTTAACATATGATGGATAATTTTAACTTTGCAAAGGTTATTTTCCCCCTAACTAGTGCATTTTAAACAACAAGAATAGCTAAGCATTGCATACCATTGTCGATTAATATATATGTATTCATTTGAAATAAGGGAAAACATCTGTGTCGACAATGTTTTTTATAATAACTCGGCATTCATATGGTGCTCATTGCACAAATCCTGTAACTTCCTTTGATGAACAGCCAAGCTGGTTGCTGTCCTAAACTCGTTCGTGCGAGAACATTTTAAGAATAATCCTGCAAACGATGTTCAGGAAACATTTTCAGTATGCTGCCAAGTGAACAAGGATGTTTGCACTGTTGGAGGACAACTATAAGATGTCGACTGTTGTATGGGACTGTTCACAGCCAAGTGCGGGGTGTGCCTATTATGTGTGGATAAAAAAAAAATTTGGATTTCTCGTGACCAAACCGGGGTACGCCTATATGCGAGTGCACCTATTATGCGAGTAAATACGGTATATGGTCACTCTAGGAATATATCATATGACGCATGTATTATGTGCTTTACCACGTGTAGCCATACTGTACTAAAGGCGATGAGATTTCTCTCAAGTCGTGTTAGTGCGGCATTTTCCCCTCAAAACACCCATTCATACTACTATGTATGTTGTACATGGGTTTGTATATAGATATACAATATATAATTGAATCCTCCACGCTTAGGAGTTCTGCTGTGTGGGATGCTGAGTTTGTGGAGAACTTCCTGAAACCCGAGCTGGCCTCCATGCTATGCCTGCTGTACCCGGCGTACCGGGAAAATGCCTTGGCCAGGAACCTGCTGCGAGACCGCATCGTTGAGTGCGCCCGGCTCTCCTGCCAGTCGCACTGTCTAACGCTTGTTGACATCCGAAGCCGCTCCTGTGATCTGACACGCCTTGACGAGATCCTACTTAACGCATTCTTCAAGGGTATGACAACTTCCGCATGGTCCTCTCTGTGGGCGTTATCACGACCATTTGTGCCTGCCTTGCTGGTTGTACAGGCACACCAGCCATAAAAATGTTAAATGGTTAAACTTTTTGTGGGGTGACTTGTTTGTAGCTAGCTTGGAGGCAGCTAGTCTGAACAAGAGAAATTGCTTTGCTGCTTCATTCAATGAAGTAAACCTAATTTTATTGATAGTATCATTTTAAGTACCTGGCAGACTTGAGTTGCACCAGTAGTGAAACTATAGTGTTTTTTTATGTGTATTTCATGACACTTATGCTCAGTACGGAGATCCCTATTGCGCTGTGGTTGAATGTTACAGTCTAAGCCAGTCAAAATGAAGAGCAGTGATTTTCCAGACATTGCTTGATATACCAAGTATTTATATATATCTGAACCCACTTTTGATGCAATCTAGCACTTAGTTTGTTATGTGAGACATTGTGAAGTCAGATGAAAATCCCCAATCAAGAGCAATGTCACTGGCCACACATAACGAGCTCAAGAAGCAATTTATTTTGTCCCACCTTGCCATCAGCACCTCCTCGCTCTAGGCATATGGCTATTTTGCTTTGTGTTTTAAGCCTTGCAGCATCAATTAGTACTGTGTTTTCAACTCGCGAAATAATGTCAATCAACTCAAGTTCACTTCCTTAGATCTCGGAGCACAGCAGCGCTGCAGCACATTAGCCACGGAAAAAATCATGCGCCATCTGTGGTAGTGTAAGGCTGCACCGCTTAGTCGTGCCTTCATTCAAGCATGTACTTTATCGACAACCCATGTGTTTTTTGCGCAACATTCTGAGGTTGCACAGCCGAACCCCCTTTTTTTCTTTCTTTCTTTCTTAACTGCCACTGCAGCAGCACTACTTTGGTGATCTGGCACATCGGATGGAGACGTACTTCAAGTGCGAGCTCTAAGTTAGGTATATCTAAAGCAGAGTTCATTATAGAAAGTGCATTTCGCTTGAATAGTGCTGAGAAGCCACTTTTTCCACCTGTTCAGTATAAAGCATAATTCATTGTACCTGAGTTCGTTATAAACTGGTTTGATTGCACTCTAATTCTTGCTACTCTTAAAGTTACATACATGTGCAAATGGATCTGACTTCTTTCAGGTTGCTCTACATAAAGAAAACGGAATCTTTTTTTATAGCTTGGCACATGAGATTTTCTTTGTTAGTTAGCAGTTTGCTTTTGTTGAAAACAGTCCACCGCAGTGAAACAGTGATTATATGGCTTGGCTGCTGACAAGAAGGTTGTGGGTTTGACCCCGGTCGTGGCAGTCGCGTTTTTATATGCGACCTTTTACATGCAGTGCGATGCCAGTGCACGTTAAAGAACACCAGATGCTCAAAATTACCGTAGTCTTTCACGGCCGTGTCTCTCTTAATCATATCGTAGTTTGGAGATATGAAATCCTAGGTATTATTATTATTTATTATCAGCATAAATGTTTAATATTATTATTATTATTTATTATCAGTATTAGTTGAAAGCGACAGTTTGCTTATTTAAATGTGCTTAGGATGGTGACTGCACCAAAGTTCACTTGCTCTGCCACGAAACTACTATAAGTTTGTTGATCTGATGCTGCTCAAAAACAGCACATAGCGGAACCCCGATTATACGACTTTCAGAGGACCACGCAAAACTATTGTATAATCCGAGTGTCGTGCAATTGAAAAACTAAGATTAGAGGCACTGACATTCAGCCTTGCCCAAAAAAAAGGGTACAGGCCGCCTGAATAAGCATGACCATGCCTCTGCAAGGAAGGTAGATTAAATAAAACTTGCCAGTGGCAGCTAATGGCAGCATTACATAGTTTTAGGAAAGTTTTATTCTCGTCTTTAAAAAAATTTAACCTAACGCACATCTTTCTATTGATAAAGAAAGTTCGATAATTGCCTGCGCTTGAAAACGAAACTGAAACCTTGTTGGCAACAACCTCCCGTCAGAAGAAATAGACACAGTGTTATCGCTATCACATAATGGCGACAGACCACGTGTTTGCATAGAATGCCTTCGTGCGCAACTGAGCTGTATGCATTGTAATTTATTGGCTTTTAAAGTGCAACTAGTGATGTCCCGCTGGTATTATGAACATTGACATCAAGTGACAGTAATTTTGCACGGTGAAAACAGCTGCGTTGCACCCTTACGTGTGTGCAAGCCTGTAAATGCGAGTGTGACAAAGGCTTGAAATCAGCTGCATATTGACCAGGAAAAGTTTCCACGAACCGAAAACGTGAAAATATATTTTTGAGTAGGTGAAGCTACTCTGTGTGGATATAACTTGACTAGGTAATGACCCAGTATACCTATGCGTGCAATCGAGGTGTATGTAGGATTGCATGACCTTCCAGGAAAATAAATATTCCATTCTAAGAATAAATCCTGTCTTACTCTCTACTTTCCTAATCGTCAACCTCGGGGACCGCAAGTTCATATTCTGCACTCGTGAATATTTGGCTGACATATGGTTCGAGTAAATGCGGCTTTTCTTTTGGATGGAATCTGAAAGTCGTTGAAGATGCAGGGTCGGCGTAAAACTGTGTCATAACGTTTTTAATACATTATTTTTGTGGAGATTTTGCCGAGACCTAACCGATTCCTCGTAAAATGTGGGTCATCGTGAAAACGAGGGAGGTATAATCGAAGTTCCAGTGTATTTTAACATCAAAGCTGCAGCAAAATAGTCATTTACCGGCTTCATAACATTATAGCCTGCTTTCAGCCCTTGTCAGAGCTCCTCTGTGATACTTTGTTTGTATAGCTCTGCTGAATAAATACTTTAAAAGATTAAATGAGCAGATTTAATGTCTTTATTTCTTAGCGTTATGGACAACTCTACACATCCGTGAAAAGAAAGAGTTGGGTGTCTAAATGCACACATTTTATTTGGTTCCAGTCACGTGGAACTGTAGTCGATCCTGCTTGATTTTTCAGCCCAGAAACCCGAAAGGGTATTACGATACAACCAAATGAAGAAAGACCTTATGCTCACCATCGATTGGAACTGTCCTGACGTGGCAATGTCACAGGTCTTCTTGAAGGACCCGTCTTGTAAATTCCAGGTGAGCAGACGTGAAAACATTGTAGATGAGGCTTGCAATTTGTCACAGGTCCCGTTAATTAGGGAGGCGATCGCCGGGCTAATTCCAAGGGCCGAAGTATCGGCCCCCCGAACCGCACCACGAAAGCGTGGACAATTTAGAAGTGGTCCTTTTTGGCGCGCCAGTGGACGCCGGCTGTGGCCCAAAGAACAAGTCAGAGCCGAGAGTTGATAAACAAACAAAATTATATTCTCAATAATGGCAGATCGAAAACAATACGCAAGTATGCACACTCCACAATAGTTGAGTACAATATGTCACCAATCAAACAACGCACTACACAGTACAATCAGCCACACTCGAACAACGGACACAGACAACAATACGCACTACAATGCAGTCGCATGCATTGAACAACTAAGACACTTAAAGGCTAAAGAGATAGAAAACCTATTCAGTCCGAAGTTCTTGGAACAAAAGTCTGGATGATATTCTTCCGAGAATCACTCACTCAAAGTCCAGCGTTGTTGTCGTTCCGTCGCCCCTCGAAGTTTCTCTTCCAGGAAACCTCGCGTCTTCAGTTGGCTGCTCGCCAAGCACTAAACTTCTTCGCCGGAAACACGTCGGCTTCACACACGTAGCTGTTGCCACGCGTCTTCGCTCGATAGCGGTAGACACACACACTCTTGCCTGTAGCTCGAGTCGTCACCCCTCAGGTGGAAATCATCTTCTTCTCCTGCTTTGTCTCCACGGACAAAACCTTCGCCGACTACACGGCAGGAATCCCTACGCGCTCTGGCGCTAACTTCCGTCTTCTCCTGATCTCTCATCTCGGCTGCTCGATTAAATACCTTCCGCGCGAGATTCCAGAAAGTTCTCATCATTTCGTCGGCGCGATGCGCAGCAAAGGCTAGGGGAAAGCGCGAGACGATACGAGGGCCGTCCGCGACGGATGACTCAACCCGGCATCACCACGCCCCTTTCCATCTAGAAATTTCGAGAGCTTGCTCGGCCGCCGATGTGGGGTAAGGAGGTTCGTCGGCAAACCTACGCTTCCGAGGGGAGAGAGTCGCGCGCCCGGGGAGACTTTGAATGCTGGTTTTCTTTTTTTTTTATCGTTGACCTCGCGGCGTCACTCCGGCGTTTCGTCGCGAGAATTTGGCGGCACGCCCTTTTTGAGCGCTCGTTTTGTGACACAATTACTGGTGAACAACTGAAATCTGTTAGTTTCAATTTGTGCCCAAAGCTGTTGATGTGAAAGTTGCAAGTAACTAGAACACAATGGCAAAATAAGATACTTTGTATATTCAATGGAGCATCAAGAATTGCCATCTGAATTTTCATGTACTATAGTATAATGCACTCAATGCAGCCGGCTGCTGTGCACGCTTGTTGTCTACTCTAAGCGCAGCCGATAGGCGCCCGTTCCTGCATCGATTTGCATTGCCATTGTCGGCATAGCTGAAAGCGGGTTAAAGAGAGTGAAGTATAGACTGCCCCAAGAAGTTTTTCATTATCAGAGCCTGCGAGCCACTGTGCTAGCATTTGCAATGCCTCGTGCCTGCTTGCGCTTCTTGCGACAGTGCAACGCCTGCCTCTGATGAACGGGCATGAGAAATGGGTTGACGTGCAAAGCTTAGGAGAAGAATGCATGTATTGGTTGAAGGGACACTTTGTGTGTAAAGTGCTTTAGTGAACTTTTAAGGGCTTATTGTAGTCTGGCAAAACATTCGCGTCATCCAGTGGCAATGGAAGTTGGCGACGCCAGGTTCACCACGTTATACTGACGTAAAACAGAGCATCCTATATTCTCACTCGCGCTGTGCCTTGTCACCTTGATGCATGTGCATTCCCTCAACTTATCACAATGCCCCTCCGAGGTGGTCTAGTGGCTAAGGCACTCGGCTGCTGACCCGCAGGTCGTGGAATCGAATTCCGGCTGCGGTGGCTGCATTTCCGATGGAGGCAGAAATGTTGTAGGCCCGTGGGCTCAGATTTGGGTGCACGTTAAAGAACCCCAGGTGGTCAAAATTTCCGGAGCCCTCCACTATGACGCCTCTCATAATCATATGGTGGTTTTGGAATGTTAAAATCCAAAAATCAATCAATCAATCAATCAATCAATCAATCAATCAATCAATCAATCAATCAATCAATCAATCAATCAATTTATGACAAAACCAAGATATCTGAACAGCCGCACTCAGTATTCGAAATAGGCAGCATCGTAATCGAGGGGGAATTTTTGTGCGACTCGCTTTACCCACAAGAAGTTTTACAAGCTCCGCTGGGCCTGTGCCACTGCTTGGCACAGGCTCTGGCTGAGTGTTTCAGAAACTTTGTTTTGGCTTTAGGTTAGCATTCGGAATAGTGGATATAGTACAGTTTAAGGGGAGATGTGAGTGGGAAAAAGCAAGTTTTTTGCAAAGGTGTTTTTCATTCTTAGCTTTCACAAGCTTGGTTTCTCTACTTTTACTAAAAAAAAAAAAATTTGGAGATTGTAATTAAACTTGAAGTGGGTTAAAATTTCTTTTGAAGAGCATGAGATGGCTACCAAAAACTAAAAAGAGCTCATATTATAGAGTTCCCTGAAGATTATCTCATGGCTGCTTGCCATTGCATTTTGCATAAGAAGTTCACTAAGCCCGCTTGCTCAAAATAGCTATGATCGCTGAGCTCTCATGATGGCAGAAATCATTTTAAAAAACATACCTTTGCCCCCCCCCCCCCCCCCATAAATGAGCTTTGACTTATACCTTTAAAAAGTTTTTTTTTCATGATCCAATTTTTCGGCTACTTCTTGAGATTAGACATCTTGTTTTTTGTAATACTGATAGCCCAATCAGGATGAAATTTTGCCCAGATATCCCTTAACATGTGAAGGGTGCAAGTATCTTCCTTAAAACTTGATTTTGCCTGTATGATTATTACGAAGCTGAAGTAAGCGATTAGTATGGACTGAGGATTGTAAGAATTCTCATGGTACAATTTTTTTATCCATTAAAAGGTCGTATACACACTTCCTTAATAGTTATTAGCATTATACAGAGAATGAGGAGCAATATGAGCCATTAATGGCTCAGAACCACAAAAGTTTAATGACATAAAACGTTTGTCTAAAATGAACTATATTTTACACATTGTCATGACACAACAGAAGAACTGTGCAACTTGCAACAAAACTAATTACATATTTCAAATCTGCATGCAAGCTTATACAGTCAAGCCCCGCTATAACAAAACTGACGGGGTGCAAAAAGATATTGTTGAAGTGATAAAATTTGTTGTAGTGAAATAGAAAAAATATAGCTGATCTAAGTAAGCAAAACAAAGGAACTTTTATTCCCAAATTCAAAGAGTGTCGACTGCATCATTTTCTTTCCCAGCAGCATCACAACCTGATTCTCACCCATGCATAGTGACGCCATGGTGAAAAAATTGGCAGCATATCCACGGAGTGAATGATGGAGAGTGGGGCGAAGCATTCGTCCGTCCATTCGTTCTTGCTTCTGTCCGTCCATGCGTCCGTCTGTGTGACCGTATACACCCATCCGCCCGTCCGTGCATGCATCTGTTCGTGCGTTCGTTCCTACGCTCGTCCATGCATCCTCCCCTGCGTCCGTTAATGCATCCTCCCCTGCGTCCGTTAATGCATACATCCATGCATCTGTCTGTGCGTCCGTTCGTCCATCTATTCAACATTCCAAGTACCACCATCTCGCATCTTTTCATCATATATTCCTCATATAGAAGCACCGCCGTCCAGCAAACATTCCAAGGACTAAACGAGAGGTGGCACACGCACACTTTCTTTCAGCTTGCGCTTCGGGTCTACTTCCCACCTTTAACCACCTCGAGTTCATGGTATATACTAGTTCACTGTATTCATGGCACTGCGGCCCAACGCTCGCTAAACCTTTCTAAAACCATGGAGGTTACGCCCAACGAGTATAACGTAGCAACCCTTTCTTGTCAGATAGGGCTCAATGTACATGCTAATGGCTGCTAATGGGGATCGCAGCGTGCGCGTTAACTAAAAGCCGAATGCTACTGTCTCTCATTCCCCATTAGCAGCCATTGGCATGTACATTAAGCACCATTTTTTATTGTTCAACAATGCACAGAAGAAATCTCTCACCGGCACCACATCAGAGGTCAAAATGTTATACTTGTTACATACTACAACGGCTATGAGGGACGAAGGGGTGCCGCTATAAAGAGCTTCGCCCCTAAAAGCAAGCTAAAGAAACGGATTTTGTGAATGAACCTATCGACTGCACAAACATGCTAACACCAGCAGCTGTCCACCATCAAAGTGTATTCGACAATACCGAGATGGAGGCGTGGTATCACGGAGCACTGAAATGTCTTATTCTACGCTATTTTTATCGTCCGCCACTCGCAGCTGACTGATTTTGTTGATAATGCAGACAAACAGCCGTTATGATTAGTGACCACACTGGCCAAGCGCAAAAAGAACCAAAAGCATCGGCATCGGAAAAAGCATTGTCCCACGATTTCACACAGTAGCTGCATGAAGGAAACTATGAACTGAGAGATTGAGCTTCAGCTTGGGATTGTCCGTGGCTCAAGAGCAGGCCAGTGGCAAAAGCCGAGCAGTCTCACTGCCATTGCTGTCGAGCAATGGCGGCCCCCGTGCTTAGTAAATAGCGGCGGTGTCTGCTGGTGCCAATGCGTGTTTTAAACTTCGTTGATGCATTTTCATATTCTGAATATGCATCAAAATGGTCAAGGTTGTGTTAACTGCATGTCATTAATTATCTGAGTCTAGAATCGCATTGTCAAATTTCGTTGAAGTGGAACGGCAGAAGAAAAAGTGTTCATTGTGGCAAGAATGTTCATGCATTGACTCCTATGGACTGTTCACAAGGAAATGAAACTTTTTCGTTGTAGTGGAAATTTCAGTTGAAGCGGTAATCATTCTAGAGGGATTTGACTGTATATACAGGGAAAAATTTAATTGCCACAACCTACTTATTTATTTACAAAACTTTTTTTTCAGATCGCATCTCCTCTTAGGCAGCTTATAAGTAACTCAGTAATAAAGGTTAGGTGCCTTGTCAAGTGAGTTTAAGCTGAATTATGGGTCGAAGAGCTGCATACTGCGTTCATGATTTTGTGATGCTGACAGGTGGACCGGGACATTTTTGAAGAAGCCCTCATACGTCCTGGCCGTGAAGAGTTTATACAGATTTTTCTGGAGCGGGGCTTTCGTGTCCACAAGTACCTGACGCCCCGTAGGCTGAAGCAGCTCTTCAAGAAAGTCCAGGGAGAGCAGTTCTTCCGATCCGTCTGCTGGGAGGGTGCCCTGGGACGTAGCCCCGTAGGTGACCTCTTCGTTGATATTTGTTGTGGGCGTGAGTGCCCTCTAATGACACTGCCTGAACTGTTTGCAAGTGCCTCTATTGCATTGGCAGTTGTAGTTCTTCATGCAAACGTTGTGGATCATAGATAAGCCATTCTTTGGTTAACTTGTAGCTCCTTGTTCTGTTTGACTCGATCTCTCTTTAATGTTTTCCCTGAATGCTTGCTTTACCTACTGGGTAAGAGGGGATACCCATTCTCCCAATTCCATCTGATTCTTGGAGGATCCCCCGTAGCAGTTGCGAGCTATGTTAAATCGTATTGTCTGCTATTTTTACTTAGAGAAAAACTATCCTGTTATGTCTATTACTTTACAGATGTGCACGTTATCTATAATTACACCTACATTTTCTCCCATGTGAACAGTTCTCCAAGCTGGGCAAGCACTTTGTGGACACTGAGCTGAACTGGCTGATTGAGACTCTGACTGGCCTGCACAACTTTGTGGACAGCCAGGAGTTGTCCTATGAACGCGGCAGGCATCTATACATTGGACCCCGGTGCAGCTGAGCGCAAGGCCCTGGCCCTGCTGGCATTGTGGTGCGCATTCACACAGCGCACTGCACAGGCCAGGCGCCTATGGCAGTGTTGCGACCAGCCCATCCACCTGGCACTGCTGGTGTCCATGACGTATGGACGGCTGGCCAACCTGGTCCACGTAGGAAACACCAAGAAGGACCTGTCAGATGCCTGCGAGTAAGTTTCAGTGGTACTGTCTTGTCATCACGAGGTATTGGTGCGCTCACTGTTGAGCAAGGGGGGGATCACAGTAGTTCGTTTGTAGTGTACTGTAGGCACGGGTATGTAAGCAGTGAAACCTCAGTAATACATATCCACTTTAAACGTGTGAATAATTTAAACTTAGTTGTAATGGGTTCTTGACCGAGTCACACAGATTCGAATATATTCGCTGACTGCTCTATGTACCCATATGTTTATATACCTGTATCAGATAGTGTGTCTCACAATAACCGTTTTTCGGCATGAAAGTTAGCTGCTGCACTTTTTATCTTGTCGACGGTCACAGTGTGCCTCAAGTTATATTCGTCCTCTTCAGTACATGCAGAGACCAGCGATAAATCATTTTGAGTTCTGCATGATTGCAATGGTGCCTTTAGTGATAAGCATAAGGCAAGAACGAAAGGTAGGTGGCAGCCACAGACGAATTGACCAGCATGACTTATTGCGGGCAACCTTATCACAATAATATTCAGCTATCTGCTTGTCTGTATGTGTGACATAGCACTATTTCAAGCATACTGCATGCTTTTAATAGGCAGCAACTTAAGTGTGCTTTGCTGCTGTTGCTGCCGCCTTGTGCAGGACTAGATTCAAGTGAGCGGTGCGGTTGCCAGGAAACTCCACGGCAACGACTCTATCACTGGCTATTACATCAATTACTTGTGTATGGTGCAGCATGCATTATGCTGCTGTAAGTGTATTGCAGGCTTTTATTAATTGCATTGCTCCCCTGTACACTGCCGCATTCTTGCGCTGAAACGGTAGAACATCGTGGAGTGCGCACTGTCGAACCTGTGACTTGCAGCATGCTTGTCATTGCTGTGTTGATGCATCAAAGTACTCGTCGCACCTGTGCACATTCTGGAGAGAAGTGTTACGAAGAACACAGCGCCTGCAGATGTGTGCATGGTACAGCCAATGGCCCAGCAATCATGGCATGCACTGAGTAGCCGACACGCTGCGTGCAACTAGCCAGATACAATATAGGGTCCACGTGGCAGCTGCACATTTTAGTGAAACGATGTCAGTTTTTCGCTGGTAGTGGATCATGATAGTGTGTTGTGCTGAAAGCCAATACATGTTTCTGTCTGTGCTGCCGCAATGACAGTCTCTGTCTGTTCCTGTCCATCCAATGTATATACTTTTGAATTGCTCCTCGGTCTCACCACTGCATGCTGTGCGACAGTCGCATGAGAGAGCTAACATGTGAGAGCCAGAATCAGCCCTTTGACAAAAAAAAAAAAAGAAAAGCTTTGTAGCAGGTGCATATCAGGCAGCATTCTATGCTGGCAGAGCATTCAAGTGAGAAAAGAATTGTTCGTTTTTCTTTGTTATTATTATTAGTCTGTTAGTTCTCAATAATATTGCGTTCAATTGGCATTGCATTTCTTGGTGTGCGGCAGGGTCTGCATGTACCACGAGATGCAGACTTGTACTTGGTGGTTAGTGTGTACTACCATTTTAGTGCGTAGTTTGGCTACATTCCCGGCATCCACTTATTGACGAGCTTTTACTGTGTGTATATATGTGAATGCTTTCCAGAAGTTGGCATCTGTGTTGGAACTTGTAGTGTCGTTGGTTTTTGCTTTTTTTTCACATGACTGGCAACTTGTGTTTCGATCATGGCAGAAACATACTCGTATTGTTTTCAAGCACCTGCAGGTGTGTATATTTAAAGGGCACTTGAACAGTTTTGCTGTTGTCATAGCAAGTACGGGAAAGTACTTGAATTCCCACTCCATTCATGCCACAATACTATGTTTTAGTTTTTCTATGCTATCCTGTTTCGTCGCCTGCTATTTGTGCTAGAAATAAGAACCTGCAGTGAAATACCCCTAGTTTGCTACGAATGTGGGCACTTGGGCTAAGGTTTGTTGACAAGCTTGTCTTTTGTCTAATAATAATAATATTTTTGGGGATTTTACATGCCGAAACCATAATGGGAATGTGGGGCATATCATAGTGAAGGGGGCAAAAAGTTTTGACCGTCTTGTGTCTGTATTGTGTGCTGACATCACACAGCACACTTGCTTGGACAGCGTTTCACCTCCATCAAAATTTGACTGCCGTAGTTGGTATTGAACCCGTGACTTTCAGGTCAGCAGCTGAGCGCCGTTACCACTGTACCACCACGTCCGCTGGCATAAAAAACAAGGTGCGTCCTGTTGTGTGCTGTTCACCTCGCACCCTTTCTGGCGCCACCGCTTTTCCCAGGAGAAGCGCTCTCACATGCATTGCTATGCGTGACAGCAGGCAGTAAATAACAGTGTTTCATAGCTGCACATCACAGGTTCGATTTTGAATTGTTATTAGGAGCATCTATTACACCACATATGTGAACAGTTTGCCCTAAGAGGGTCAATCTTTCACAGAGTATAGACCCCAGTGATTGCTGCCCATTTTATTTACCTGAACTGTAAATAAGTGTTCTATTGCGAAAATAATTGGGAGTAGATTTACTTCTTCCTTCAAGATGAAGCAGTCAGTTATGCAAGCACTGAGGAGAGTGGCCGAAGGGTCCAGACACCCTTTATTCTGAAATTAGCTTTTCCTCTGTGTCTATGCTACAGGCAATATGGCAACTACGGCAGGTTGGGTAGGTTAGTAAATATGACTCATTTGACAAATCAGTTGCGTGTAATTTTTGTTGTTTATTGCGTCATCAGTTGGATCTGTTCGCTGGCGTTTCGTGGGCTGGGTGTTGTTCTTTTGCAGGTAATGCAGATAACCACGAAACACAGTAGGGACCGCCTTTGGATGCAAAAGTCTAATCCTTAAGTTCTTTTGCAGTCATTCTCAGTAAAGTCTAAAGAGCACACGACCGACCACTTGCTCGGCTTCCACATTGCTTCCTCTTCCTGATGGCCCTTGTCAAGTAATATTCTTCAGCTAAGCACTTAACGCTGTAGATCGCATGGGAATTCATGGTACTGCAAGGTAACGTCTCTTCCCGCGTTCGACTTGCACAGCGGCACACAACAACTTCGCGGCATCACACCGCTAGAAAACACCGTCTGCTACAAACGCGCGCAATAAAAACTGGCACTCTACCACAGAAAACATGTGTCTAGCTGCCCACACACACGGTCACACAAAGCAGTGGCTGTGCAAAAACAAACCACACGGCAAAGCACACAAATGCTCATAAATCCTGTGGCGACCCCACTGCCGCACGAATTGATGTCTACTTTGCGTACAGGAGCAATGATGTTCTTCCTATCCCTGATGGCCCTTGTCGAGAATTATTCTTCAGCCAGACTTACCGATGCTGTAGATTTCAGGGGACTTCATGGTACTGCAAGCTAGCGTCTCTTCTCGCGTTTGACTTGCATAGCGACACACTCAGTGGCTCAACAGACTCGTTGCATCACACCACTAAGAAAAAACATTGGCACACACGCACACAATAAAAACTGTCCTCAAACACAGGAAACATGAGGCAAACTGTCCTCCCCCACACGAACGCACACAAAAAAAGCATGAGAAAGCATACAAAAAAGCACGCAGACATGCACTAATCCTCACGCATCCACATTGAAACACAAATGACGCTCCACCCGTCCGCTTTGACGGGTGGAGCGTCAGCCCCCTCACCAAAAAAGCAGCCGAAACTGTCAACTCTGCCCAGGCGCGCTTGCCCATTGACGGCGACGCGACGCAGCAGGCCGCACCTTGTTTTTTATCCAGCAGCCTTGGTATCACTCAGACGGACTCGTATTCTGTCTAGCTCACTTGAGTCTTTCTATGATTGAGCTATAGCCTTTTTTCGCTTTTATTGCAGTAGCAACTATATGAACATTCTCAGCAGATTTTTGCCATCGCCATCATGTCCCAGTTTTATATATATATATATATATATATATATATATATATATATATATATATTGTAGTGACAAATATGGGCTCTGTCATAGAAACGACGAAGTAGACGTTTGTTGTGGCGGAGGCTCGTGCTGCCGCAGCTGCTGCTGAAACTGCTGGCTGCTGTCTCGCTGCTGTTCGGCGCATCAAACAGTTGCCTCACCCCGGCATGGCGTCTAACAGTATTCTTACATTTGGTGGAGAGTGCTGGTTGTCTCAAACTGGAACTCCGTTCCGGGACTCTACCTCAACCCTCCGCATCGCCAATGCCTGACGACATGACCCACCCACCTGCAGTCATAACCCCATCTGTCACCTTGTTCCGGAATGCCACGACAGCGAAATCCAGTGATTTTCAACGCGACTGACGGCCAAGACGCCAAAGACTGGCTGTCCCAGTATGAAGCAGTAAGCGCCCACAATAAGTGAGATGATACAGACAAGCTCGCTTACCTTAATTTTTATCGCGTGGGTGTAGCAGAACTGTGGTTTAACAACCACAAAGCGGAAATACCCTCTTGGTCAACCTTCAAGGCGTGCTTTGCAGAAGTCTTGGCTCGACACTGTTTGCAAGCTCCGCGCTGAAGAGCGCTTGCGCGGCCGTGCACAGCGCTCTGGCGAGACCTTCGTATATTGAGGATGTTCTGGACCTCTGCCGTCGTATCGATTCTGACATGTCTGACACTGACAAAATATGGCACATCAAGAATGGTATCGAAGACGGCGCCTTTCACATGCTTGTTGTAAGAAACCCACAAACCGTCACCCACCTTATTCAGCACTGTCAGAGTTTCGGCGAGCTGCGGAGAGAGCGCATTTCTACTCGACGTCCAAACCTCGACACGACCTCTACATCTGCGTTAACCATTGGAGCTGTTTTCTCCAAACAAACCACCTTTATGCAGTAAATCCAGCAGCTTGTCCGAGAAAAAGTGGTGCGCCAATTGTCTCTTGTGCCGTACGTTCCGACCAGTGCACACACGCTGACCCCAACGCTCCGCAAGGCAATCGAAGACCAAGTTTCTGACGTGCTGCCTCCCACATACCAACCTTCACCTATCTCCGCTCCTCTCACTTATGCTGTGATCACCAGA